CATGGTCACAAACATAAAAAGTGAGTGCAAGCGATGAATGCGAAAGAGTAACAGGAGAATATGGGAGAAAAGAGAGAAACGTCTCATTCGAGATCATGCCAAGAATAGTTCCAGTCTGATGAGGTGAATCCCAAAGTATGTAAAGATTTTGGTATGGGAACACGCGTCTAAGGACCAACAACCAAAGAAAGGACAAACAATGGTGAATGCTCTTCAAGGCGCAGTGTGCTCTAGCACAGTCAAGACTCGCACATCAAGCACAAAGTGACCGTCATACTGGGTCTGGCGTGAGATTAAATGGCAAAAATGTACCTTCAACGCCATGTGCCACGCATAAAAGTGTCATAAGCACGCAGGGAGCCCACAATGGCAAGCAAACACAAGTCACTGACTGCGACCTTAGGAAGTCCCAGTGCAATAACAGCCTTAGCGGATTGAGGAAAGCAGATCCCTCGATAAGAGATGATCATCGGTTGGTGAACCAAAAAGTCGATATCACAACCGATGGCATGTAGGGCTGAGATTATGGCGAGGGAATGTTCATCAGCACCATACTTCTGCTTCTTCTCATTCCACACTATCACTCCACGCCCATCCGAGACTATGCTGACGTCTATTACAGTTGCACGGCGATCTCGAACAGCGATTAGGTCAGGTTTGATGAACGACGTAGAAGTAGGGGCTCTCAACTCCTCGAAGACGGTGTACCCCAGTCGACGGAGACGTTTTGCAAGTTCCCTTGCAACCCGGTTATGACGAGCACATCTGGCATCATGCGTAATCCAGCAGGATTACAAAATATGCACCAAACTCTCCGGTTGGCCACAGTTTCCACGACATAAGATCGTCTGCCCACCATGACCATGCCGAGTATATTACTACATTGTACTACTGCCCTATAAATCCCATAATAACCGTGGATTTTCCTGGAGTGGATCAAGGATTTTTCTTGTTTACTTTGCAGGATTGTGACACAAGTGACCCCCTTTGAAGAACCGGGGGCTTAAAATTCATCTGAACATGTTGCAAGCCGATCGGTCATAGTATTCCTACGGTTTTTGATCAACCGAATGTATCTCATCGATCAACAGTGGACACAATTCCCAGTTGGGACCCGTCAACTGATATTCCCTTCCATGGGTTTTCTCCAAAAATATGTATGTTTCGAATGAGAAAGTATGTTGTTGGAAAAGAATTATCCACAAAAAACACTGGTTTTTTCATGCAAAGATTTTGCTGTTTCATCTGCATGAGCAAGGTCTCCAAAATAAATTCTGTTCGAGAAACAGTTTGAGTGACTTTTCGAACTATTTTGAACAACTTGAGCATGTTTTGATTCTTTCGCGCATCGCTGCGTTCTATCCGCCAATATCGACCTATGTTTCATTTCAGTCGATAACGTACCGTTGATCAGAATATTGTCTCGGCCTGGACTATGGATTTTCTTGGGTATATCGATTGTTCTTGTATTCATCCGGAATAATTTATGAACGAAATTTATCCCATAGATTTTCCAGTTGAGTTGTGACTTTTCTCTGTTCACCGATCCGTTGTAACTTCGAAGGAAGACTGTCGGTAACCCCGCCTCCCCCATGTAACCTGGATCAACGCCTTGGCTGCAGAAAACTACATAACTCACGCTTACAGAATTTTTACAACAACGGAAGCTTGTAAAACGGCAGGATGTAAAACAGTATAGTCAATTACGATCCCCTGTAGGTAAAGTAACCGTCTAGTTGGCAGTCACTCTACTGGTTCAATTTTCGCGCGATCCTTTAATGACCAGAGATTCTTCCGTCAAAAATGTGTGGCTTCGCAGATGGATCAAAGTGAATCGCCTAGACTTTTATTCAACGGAGGGTATACCAGAAAGTTCATCAGCTGAGCAAAGCTTTATCGATTTTCTTTTCAATGTATCGATCTATATGGTGTAAAGATGACCACATTCGCCTTCATCTGGATGATGATCGTTGACCAGACAGGTTATGTTTTTCTACACTCAAATGTAACTTGGTCGTGGTCTAAGTGGTTCTCTTCATCTACTGAAGGTCGGATTACACCGTCTAAAACATCCTTCTCTCGAAAGGCTCTTGTTCTGTTAATGGTCACGTGGATAAGATGGACCTCAACAAGAGGTTCACATCTACCTTATTCCAGCTAAAACCCGGGGGAAAAAACAACTGGTAACATAGGAATGAATGCTACTTGTGTTCTTCATATTACAGTACCAGTTATGAGGTTGATAAACTTTCCAGAGAGCATCTTTCATTTGGGGTTCATCGGATGGACCTAGTCATTCGAAAAACGGGGGACTCAACAGAATCTAGATTGGTTCCTCTGTTCATAGTATTCTTCAGTCGATCTTGTTGCCTTAGGTTTGCTTTGGAACGATATTCAGGATATCAAACTATTTTCCACTAGACAACATTACTTGAGTCTATGTAAACCTATCAGGATTGTGGACTTTGATTCCAATTTGTCACAGAACCAGGTTGAAAGAATCAAACAATGGCGGGTAGGTTACGTAATGCCTCGGTCTTCTTATCACTTACAGAGGTTGCCTTCTGATGAACTGCCGCCCAATAGGAGATGGGACTTTTGCGATAAAATTCAAACACTCCAGAATGAAAACAATAGCTCGTTTGCTTAGTAAACCTCCTGGTCTGGAGGGTAAATTAAAGAACCCTGCTGACTTGTTTCTATTCTGCTTAGTTTTTCATATGGCTAGTCGAGAGACGCAAACATTTCTGGCTGGATTTCAGGTCAGTGGTGTGTACGCCACTCAGGCTCAGATAGATACCTCTCCAGACCAGATGACTAAAGTGGGGGGTGGACGAAACTAATCCCCGGTCTCCTAGATCCAAGCAATTTGTTTGCTTGGCACACTCAGAATCATCGTTGGTAGTCATCCCCTCCGCAGTTAATCTAAGTGACAACAGTCTAATAGAAAAGAAGAATACAACTACTGGGAGTCACAGATATTGTACATCCTCTTCTGGAGTAGTTGCTAAAGAATTTTCAAGGCTAGTTGTGGCAAGTCACGTGGCATGGGGCTGTCCATGGAGTGAAAAATTTGTGTTGTTCTTCTTAATCATTCTACAACATGGTGCCGGTGATACACGATAATTCTTCGAACATATCCATGTGCAAATGCACAGTGATTCGACCGTGGCCTTATTTTTTAAAGCGCACTTTTGGCCGTGAATCCAAACTATTTGACCGGTGTCGGGTGAACACTTGTTGTCTTGGGCCGCTGCTTCTGTAACATGCCTGAACACTCATCATTGTCCATCGTTTTTGAAGTGATTGATTGATTGATTCAGCGTCCAATCAGCAGCTGGCTTTTCGGGCCCGGATGCTTAACAGCTTCCCTACTGCGATTTCGGTGCCGTTTGAGGGTTCCGGCAAGTTTCGGGACTATTTTCAAGAATCTGACCTTTCAGGCGAATTTCAAAGGTGAAGTGAGGGGCCAATATAAAAGCCAAGGGATGCGCTTTTTTCTAGCCCCCCGGTGTGGTCTGACTGAAGACAAGTAGTTGCCTCAATATTAAAGAATTTTCTGCCCAAAAAGAGCACCATCGTAACAGTTTCTTTCGTAACTAGAATTGCTATCTTGTTTTTTGCCATTTTTGGCTTCAGAAAGCGCCTATCATTCAACCAACTAGACAGCCGGAGCTTTCTTGACGTATACAACCCCAGATGTCCGATAACCACCTTATCGGAGCCAAATCAAACCTCTGACCAAAATTCAAACTGGAAGTTCAGGTAGGCATGTGAACCATCCCCGTCAGCTCCTCAGTTATAAGCCAGGCAGGTTTGCATGCGCATTGCATCACCTTATCGGAGCCAAATCAAACCTCTGACCGAAATTCAAACTGGAAGTTCAGGTAAGCATATGCATCATCCCCGTCAGCTCCTCGAGGCAGGTGTGCATACGCAGTGCATCGTATACCGCTTGTATCTGCCCGATGAATTCGTGCAGCCATTGCTTGCTTACATAGATTGGTGGAAGTTGGGGCATACTACCGCGTAACTGCGGTGGACAACGAAGCCTAGTCACAGAATTTGTGGTCATCATTGAAGCTGGACAGAAACTCCACATCGATTCAATCTCCAAGCTAGATGGCCACCAGATCAACTGCCAGAGAAGCATCACGCTTTGGACATTACTGATGAGTAGTGCTCAACTAACGTGTGATTCAATTCAGTCGGTCATTCCAACCCCGAATTTTCCAGTGTTCCCTCCTGCGTTAAATCAACATAAGGGAGATTTTTCACAACAGAGAAGAGGGCGAAAGTTACTCGGAAGTGCAGAACCTCGGAAGATTCAATATCGACCGGAAAATAGGACTACACGTTAAAAAATCAGAAATCCAACCCTTCATAAAGAACCAAAAATCACGTTTCGCAACTGAGTGACAGTGAAAAAAACGTCATCGACAGAGGTGAAAGCTTATAACTGCTACGCGAATTTGACAAATATTCAGTGTTAATGAAACCGGTCTCTAATACAAGGTGCTGTAACAAGCGTTTTGGGAAAAATCTGGTGAGACAGCTAAGGCTACACAGTTTCTACAGGCTTTATCCTCTTGATCGTAGGGTGTAGCATGGCTGATGAGATTGGTTGAAACTCCCCCACGACTGAAGTGTTTTCAGGAATGCAACTTGGAACGACAAGTTGGCGACAAGGATGCCAAGTGAAACAGTGCAGCTACTGATAACAAATGCGCGGTACAAAAGAGGATGAATTCCAGTATATTTGTAATGTACTACTCATAAGGTTGCTGAAAATCCATCGACAGCCCACGACCGGTTTCGCCCATCTTGGGGCTCCGCAAGTGGGCGCAGTCTCCGGGTTTCCGTCAAACTTATGTTCTACTTGAAACCAAATTGCATGAAATTAGCGAATGTACACTCATCTGCAAACTAATTTGGTTCTTTCGAGAGACTCACCTAGAACCCAGCTGAATCTCTCGTTTATGATGTTCTCACGCAACTGAATGTGCTGTACCAGGCCGCCCCATGTTTCAGTCGCTACGATATTTGAAATATCGCGACACATGTATATTTGTAATGTACTACTCATAAGGTTGCTGGGTTCCAGGTGAGTCTCTCGAAAGAACCAAATTAGTTTGCAGATGAGTGTATATTCGCTAGGATGAATTCCAATTGAGTAGCTCATCGGCGTAAACGTAATCTGCCTCCCACAAACGTCATGTTTGCGACAGAAAATCACACTGATATGACCGGTTCAAAGCTTGTGCACTTTGAAACGTGACGTTTGGGCCTCCGTGTTACATTCAACAGTTGCTGTTATTAATTTGTCCAAATGTGCGGAAAGTGTCGCGCTATTCCATGCCTCCCTAACTTGGAAGCAGCTTGTCAATAATCTAACCGTTGGAGAGTTTACTTCGTGCATCAATGAATTATGACTTCCTACTGCACACTGATTATAAAAACCTGGAAGGCCAGGTGAATCTTAACAACTTGGAGAGGAAGTAACGGTTCTAATCCTTGGTATAAACTTTATCAAAGCAGTCAGATTAGCTGATGGGCTCAAATTCTTCAGCTTGGTGAATAGCTTTTCAAAATCCGCGGTAATTGGAACGAATTTCCTTTGGAAAAACTGGCACGAGGCAGATCAATGTTATATCTTTTTCTGGGAACCAGATAGCAAAAGTCCCTCTGCACATGTTATCTCAAATTGCGATAGGCACAGTTTATCACCCCACATCTGGGCTCCAACGATGGTCTTGTTCCTTGCGAAGGATCTGACAGTCGTGCTACAAACGTGTTTCTGGACGTTACTCCGTTTTCAAAAGGTGGAAGAGCTTCGACACTTGAAGATATACTGTGGAACATCTTGCATTCATATACACTGTGAAAAGAGGAGACTTATCAGGCTTGATAAACATTCAAAATAGTCTTATGCCTTCGGATCGATCATAAACGTCTAGGAGGCATAAGAGATAGACCTTTTCTCAAAAGTGTTTTAACATTATCCGATAAGTGTTAGAAATGATCACCTCACGGAATCCCACAGATTTTCAAACAGGCAACCTCCTGGCGGGTAGTCTGAACACGAGTGGCCAACCATGACCGAACGATGAAGTGTGCAAAATTATGATCGGGATGTCGTGGGTTTGAGACTCCCAAGGATTCCCTGAGATGCGCACTGTTGATGATTCCTACGAAGGATGTACAGTGCTTCTCAGTTTTTCAGCATCAAATGCCTTCACTTACAGGAGAAAAATCTCCTGCAAATTCCTCAAAATATCCTGACACTACCAACGACGTTTTTCGAATATGCTCCAAATTCGACGATTTTTTATACAACATGACATTATAACAACGTCTTTTTGACAGCTAGTCTCAAGTTTGTGACGTGCATGAACTGTTGTCCCACGAGGTTTTCTTATCTTGCTTTGCGTCACTCGACATCAATCGTTGTGATGGTGACCGGGACGAAACTGTTCATCGCGTCACAAATGCTGTTGTTCCCATCTTGTGGCTAATTTTTTGGGATGTGCTGTCAACCGGAAGAACCCGAACAGTCGGGTACACGCACTAGTACACACGTGCACGCATGGACATTGATGATTTCACACTCACAATCACAATGACCTTGGTTGCGGATTGACGCCAACTACTCGTTCTGTTTGTTTACACGGTACTATGGTAATGAATTCCTCTGACTTTTGCGAATAGCACGTGACCGCGGAGATGTTCAGCGGTACCAAAACGGGGGGGTGGCTTCAGGGTCTAAAATCCGAACTAGTGTGTCTAGGTTATCACGGAATGCCATTCCTCAATAAACAGAAGCGACAACCGACATCGTCGGTCGAATGTTTATTGTACCGAAGCTGATCTTCCATAAATTTCGGTTCATCCCGCCGCATTATTTATCTACCAGATCTCATTTCAAAAGTTAGAAAAAGGATGTAAACTGACCTTCAATTTAAGTTCATCAACAAAGTCATGCGCCACTCTGCTGCCGGAAAACTGCACACTGATCCAATCGGATGAACCACGAAAGTTCAAGAAGATGCGTGATGATTTTCAGTTTTTGATAATAAGGTGCATATGAGATGGTTACTCTCTTATACAATAGTTTATAACCGTTCAGCTTGCACAAACTTTGTGTCTTGAACATAACTAGGTTTGGGTGGCCCCTAATATTCCTTTCGCCTGCTATAGTCACGTGATTATATGTCCCAGGTCGACGCATCCCATCCATGTGACATAGATTTTGAATTTTCGGGAACCTGGTACTTGTAAGCACCTAATATCACATGGTTAACGCTCGAGCAATGGCCAGCTGATCGATGAGGCTTATTGATCGACTGATGCACAAGCCTTGATTCACAAGAAAATGGTTTTAGTAAATGTTTGGAATGTTAAAAGAGAACCCTGAACCAAGTGTGCTTACGGGCTGCCAAAGCATTGCCAAACTTCCGTAGGAAAGAACTTTTCTTGTTAGTTGAAATGCGGTTAACGGTCGGTTCAAGTTGACCACATACTAATGTCTCGTTTATTTTTGCCTAATGAATACGCTACTGTTACGTCTGACTGCTTCCGTCTCCGCTCCAGTGCTCAGTGCCGGAAAAAACTCACCGACAAAGAATATAACAAATTTATAGCGACAAGTGAGAACGTGCGAGTGCAAAAGTTACAACGGCCACGCACTAAGAGCCACATTTTGATATTGATTCGGACTGTCTGATGGGCGTTTAGTGAGCACCCATCAACATCCATCGTGCTTCTATGAAACCTCTGAACACTTGTCATAGTCAGTCGTGATTCTCTGGCGTGCCTGAACATTCATCGGCTTTTGTTGAATCGATTGAACGATTGACTGGTCTGGATACTTGCCCGCTCCCCTACTGAGATTTTGGTGGAGTTTCAGGGTCTCAGTAGGTTCCGGGCATTGCGAGATCATTTTCAGCAATCGGACCTTCATGACAGCCACAGACTGCTTTCTTTATTAGTCTTCTAAGTAGCATTGTATCAAGCGAAATATTTTCACTTCGTGAATACCAGTCCGACGGAAAGGGCCTTTAGGCAGGACCTTCGTTTAACTAACATCACCAAACGATAGATTCGCTTCACTTTTTAAATAAGCGCTTGGCGAACATCCGATTGGAGCGAACGGGAAAATCCTTTTCTCTCACGAATCCAGGAAGAGTGAAGTTGTTATTGGGTTCATCAAGACTTATTTCTTGGTAAAATTAGGTAGTTCACTTCTCAGGGACATTTCTGACTTCCTGTCACCAAACATACGGTTATCTAAGCAACTATGGGGGAGATCTAACTCTGATTTTGTATCTCCTCTGTCAGAGAAGCTTTGAATTGTTTGCTAAGAGCATCCAGAACATTCACCAACCTTCATGATGTTAACACAGTGCATTTTTTCACCCAACTGACGGGTTTTTTACACCTATTTGGGGGCTACAGTTTTTACTGTCGTAGTAATAAAAAGGCGTTGGTGATTTCGACACGTGACTCATTCACCTTCGTTGTCTTGTCTGCTGATATCATCAACGATGTTTAGCCGTAAAAATTTGGAAAAATATTGGCGCTAAACTTCCACTAAAAATGTCAAACAGATTCATTGCTTTTAATACGTGGATTATGAATCAATATTTCGTAGCGACTCAAAACTGTCATGTGGAAGAAACCATAGTTGCGTAATCAGAGTGGTAAACAAACACTGTTCACACATCCATCCGCCGCCCGAGGAATACGTACAATGTGATCTCCAACCGTAGGCGGATTTACGGATACGGGAGGAATAGATTTCCCCATTTTATGTAAGCATTTGTCTTGCTTTGTTTTGTCCGATCTTGGGGGCAAACCAGTTACTTAGTTTGAAACAACTGAATAGACACCACGTCATTTTAACACAACAAACGCGTGGGCTCATAACTGATTGCACCCATGTTGCAAAGATCAATTTTTTGTTTGCGAGATAGATCACAGAAACCCGGTAGAATTTAGTGGTCCAGACATTCTCATTTTCATCAGCGGCAAACAGATAATTGTTACAAACCTAAACATTTTAATCAAATCAACTAATACACTAGTTACATTTCAGCCATAAAGGTGGGTAAAATCATCAATCATCCAATCAACAAAGTGCTATTGATCTTCCTTCCCTTGTTTAAATCAAGCTCTAGTTGGGATTTCCATTCAAATGCTTAAATCCTAACTTTGCTGATTTTCAAAAAAGTCTAAATTGATTCCTCTTCTTTAATCCTTCTGAGTGGTTTTCATCTTGTTTTCAAGTGGATAAGAACCAAAGTATTATTGCAAGTGGTTGAACAAGTTTCGTTTTGAATCACACGCGTCGGTGATTTAGCTCAGACGGATGACTGCTGTACACGATTCCCCTTCCCTAATCGGACACTCTATTCGCGTCAGCTTATTCTAATCGTATTGCCCGCCCGTACTGTTTGTGCGCAGTTGAATATTGGTTTTAGCTTCCTAAGAAACCCTTTTCGAATCGCTTCCTCCTGCACCCTAATGTCTTTGTGTAAGTCCTGGTAAACCGACACAAATCTTCTCGACACGATGCTCCAAGATTATTCTCAAGTGCAACTTGCTGAAATACCTGTCCGGCTTCTTAAGTATCTCTTGGGTAACAACGAGGTACTTTTGTACACCGGAACTTTGGGACTATTAAAACCTACCTAGTTGACTCGAGTCAAGACTTCATTTTCGTCCACTCCCCGTATGAGACCGATTGGCCCAAATTCCCCACTCACATATGACCTTTTGACCCAGTCCCAACTTGCTAACCTTTTACACACATTCATGTGAACTTTCAGTCTTTTTACAGATCGGCTAAAACGTTCATCTAATATCTTGGTGGTGTCGTATCTCCAGAAAGACAGTCCTTACAAATGTGTCTACTTTCATAGTTGCCTCAACCGGGGATCGGAGAGACTAGGTGTAATAACGGTAACGACCCAGCTCAATTATCCTCCCGCACGGTCCAAGCTATCGCAGATCGTATTTAGATTGTGTGGGCCGACAATATTCTTGAAATTCTGATGAATCCCGGACAACCGCCATGCGGTGGACAATGTACGATGGTTGCCTTCTGGGTACACCTTTTCGGCCAATCAGAGCTTGGCGTGATGCTGGACCGGCAAGCTGCTGGCCAATGACATGCGGGTAAGGCTTCTCGACCGTAGCATCACCCAACTCCAAGCAGTTAAACGGTCTTGATGCGGCATTCCGCTTAACACCAGGTCTACAAACCACCTAATCGAACAAACATCCTAGATCATTTGATTTGATAAGTGACAGTGGAAATTAGCATACGATACCTGATGTTTGCAACCTGAACAGAATTGCAAAAACTTCAGAACTGATCCGGTTAGGAAGATCTGATCAAAATTCAGTCGTTTCGACTTAACTGCCTGTTTGCTATTGGATCCATGGACAACACCGGTTAGTGAATTCTGTTCACTCGCCCATTGGTAAACAAAAAGTTTGCATTGAATGTGATTGAGTCCAAGGTCAGAGCAGTAAACAGAAAGCAGTGAGGTCAGAAACACCAAAACTGAGAGATTCAGCTGGGCTCCAGGTGAGTCTCTCGAAAAGCAAAATTAGTTTGCGAGTGTATATTCCCTAATTTCGTGCAATTTGTTTTCAAGTAGAACATAATTTTGACGGAAACTCGAGGACTGCGCCCACCTGATGAGCCCCAAGAAGGGTGAAACTGGTCATGAGCTGTCGATGAGTTTTCAGCAACTTTATGAGTAGTGCATTACGAAGGTCAGTGGGATATTTGATAGAGGTTTCTTGAACATAGCGGATGGCCAATCACCTTTATATCTTGAAAGTTAACACTGTCGTAAGAGGTCGGAATTTCTGTAGGAAAATAGAGGTCATTCAACGAGATGGTTGTTATGCTACCTAGGAGTCCAGGCGTACTTTCTGGATATCAGCGAGCTATTGTACTCTTGAATATTTCTACTGATTTCGCGATTTGGACGTGACCTTCGACCATTCGGTTTTCCGTTCTGCACGTGGTTGGTGTCTGATTATGTGTCCATTTTGATTGTGGTTATGAGGTCTTCCGGCTAGTGCTTAGTTGACATCCTTGGAAGTTCCTCGGTACACCAGCACCATCTGTGGAACTCCTTTTCACTGACCTGAACGCTTTAAATCAACCATAGCCAGCAATTTAGTAAACGTTTCCTTAGGTTCACATGTGTATGACTTGGTTGAGTTTTTCATGAGTTTCCAGTCTTTGAGTCAGCTAGTTTCCCTGTGTGTTTACTGATTCTGTCCCATTCCTTTTTGGGCTAAATCGATCGCTCTATTCAGAAATTTTGCTTTTGCGTGATTTCACATGCACGCCCAATCTATCACGTTTGATCTCCTCAGTTTTTGGATTTCGAGCGGCCTAGTACTCACATACCGTCTTTTTCAGACGTGGATTTATGCCAACCCGATCTAGAAGCAGTTGTCAGTGCCCTCTGTTCATCGAATCAAACATTTTGATGAGGTCGCCGTTCATTACTTTTCTGCTAGATTTGTCTTGCGGCATAAACTATGTCAGTCGAACTTCGACCAACCCACGTTATTTTGAGAAGATTAGGGTCAAAGCTGCTCTATATTTTGTAATCCACTACTCATAAGGTTGTTGAAAACTCATCGACAGCCCATGACCAGTTTCACCCTTCTTGGGGCTCATCAGGTAGGCGCAGTCCTCGAGTTTCCGTCAACCTTATGCTCTACCTGAAACCGAATTGCACGAAATTGGGGAAATACACTCATTTGCGAGTGAATCACCTGGATTCCAGCTGAATCTCGCTTGTAATGTTTCCAGGTAACTGAATGCGCTGCACCAGGGCGCCTCATGCTTCAGTCACTACGATAGTCGAGATATCGCGATACATATATATTCGCAATATACTACTAATAAGTTGTCGAAAATTCATCAACAGCCCACGCCCTTCTTGGGGCTCATCAGGTAGACGCAGTCCACGAGTTTCCGTCAACCTTATGATCTACTTGAACACTTGGCACTGGCTTGTTTGCTGTAACCAGTCGCCGAAGCTGTCGAAGCTATGCTCCAGTCTTGGTGATTCCGATTAGTCTACACTGAAGCAGGAAAGCACAGAACCAGACTAGCAAACCTACAGCTCTGTCTAAATCCGAGCCCTCAATGCCTGACATGCGACCTTGTAGAGAATTGGCGTTCTCTTTGATGTGGCTGGCTACTCTACTAAAGCGATATGCGGCAACACAAAGTAATTGAAGCCAAGTATAGGCCGAGTGACTTTACAGTTGGAAACAACATAAGATCCGATGAGGGAATAAACCAGTAGTAGGCGATCCAAAGTTTTTTTTTGTGCCGACCTCATAAGCGATAGTAGCATTTGTCACAGACATAAGAATCGCCCGGTTCACGCGGACTCACCATCTAATGCTTACAACTCAGCGTGACGTCAACTGAACCGAACGTTGGTCCACATTCACGCCTCCATTCCCATTGATTAGCTAATTTTAAAATTTATTATAGATTGACGTAAAGTGTCAATCGCCGTAATTGTTGTAATCACACAAGGGGAAGTTCCGACTGAAAGTTGCCTTCTGACACCCACGCGCAAACACTTGATGACGTTGGAACAACAGTCCACATACAGACGTGTCGATCAGCCTCTGCGTTGGAAAAACATTTTCCAGCAAAAGTATTCTACCCGCGTTTCGGTTAACTGGAATGAATGTCCCGTTTGTGGATGTGGGGCGTCAGTCGAATGTGTGGTTTCCGGAAAATTAAAAAAACTTTGGATTGGTTAACGGTCCCAAAAGTACAACTTAGCACTGTACAGGATAAAAGTTCTGGCGATAAATTTCCGCAAAACCTTCATTTTGTGTGTGTGTAAATTTAGGCCACCTTTGATAAATTCTGAATAAAATTTCCTATGGGTGTCCTCAATTCAAGACATGGAACCAGTGGTGTTTTGTCGCATGATGTCGCGCGGCGGGCTGTTTGATATTCTGCGTAATTCAGTCACAGTTTTAGTTGAAAATACGCCGAAGATTCTGTAGGGTCGGACGTTTACTCACAAAGTTGGTTAGTAGTAACGTGACATAAATGTCGTGTTACAATGCGGTCTTTACGTACCGATGGAGCACACGGTTAGCAAGATTTTGAATCTCTGTTTGTGAATGAGCATCTGGCCAGTTTCGTATTCAGGTAAAAACTAATATTGATGGGACCACGAGGATCATGCCTTTTCGTTGAACTCTGAGCCATGCACAACAGTTTGTGCGCCGTCGAGAACTTTCATCGGCTTTTTTCATAGAAGAAACTACTACTACTGAAAACTCTTCCACAACCGGTTTTACCCTTCTTGGGGCTCGTCAGGTAGGCACAGTCCCCGAGTTTCCGTCAACCTTATGTTCCAGTTGAACCTAAATTGAACCGTTTTCGAGAAATATGCTGCGATTGCTTAAATATCGTGCCAACTGTAACCTGAGGCGGCCTGTGTGCAGCACATTCAGTTGTAGAATATCATAAACGAGAGATTTAGTTGAGTCTCTTGTGAAAACCAAATTGGGTGGCAGGTTTCTTTGAATTCCGAACGTCAAGCGTTCATTCAAAGTATGACAAAGGTAGAGTGGAGAAGCATGGTCCCTATTCAAACTCGTTTATTTACCGGAATATGCTTGATTCCCATCAATTTTACTGGCAAATGTCACGTTGAATTGTTTTAAAAGATGCGAGACTTATACGTCAATCTCTAAGAATTTTTACAACACGTAGGTGAACTTGTGTGTAAAAACAGGACAAACCCTGTTTCGCGGCAACCGACAGATTTTGCCAGAAGCAACTGCGAAAATTACGAATTTTTGTTCATTTCTGTACAGCTGTTGGACTCGATTTTTCTCAGCCAGAGTTCAAATATTGCTCAAGTTCTGTTTACCCAATGATAGCGGATAGATAGTTTGCTTTCTCTTGTTTGATAGCTGTTTTTGTCACTAATATGAGCACCGGGTGACAAGTTCGTCCAAGTTACTGAAACATTGCTGTAAGAATATTCGACTCCCCACGAAAAGAGTTGACTTTCTCTGTCGGTATGCTGTGATTCAGTGGAGAAATTATCTTCAGAATTAGTCAAACCTCCCGCTTCGGTAGTGCTGTCTTTCGGGGGAAACACCAGAAAGCCTTCAAAAATCTGGTGTTCAGATAGCCTCTGATGAAAACCTTGTCAATTTAGAGCATGAAGAAAGCATTTTTTCGTCTTCGAATATGTGGAGCAGACGATGGTGTCCTTGGATGAACTGGCCAAAGTCATCCCGTCCTTTGGTATGCACTTTGAACCCACAAAGTGTAAGGTCATGCTCCTGGACATGTAACCGCTAAACACGTCACTTCTAACCCAGGGAGGAGCACTCGAAGTTGTAGAGTGTTTTACCTGCCTTGGAATTTGCATTCATTCTAATTGTCGTGTGACGGATGAGGTTAATGCTCGAATCTGCAAGGCCGGATCACGTTTGGGTTGGCGTCGGCGAATCCGTAACGATGGAATTAGGAAGTGAGTTTTCAGTGGTACGACAGGACCTTCCATTGATGGATGTGTCCAGCACCGAAAGCAGTGTTGAGTAGGCCATGTATTGCATATGCCGAACCACCGTTGGCCGAAGAGCGTGCTGTTTTCCGTGCGTGGCTAACCCTTGGCTTGCCAGAGGGGCATGAGGGATATTACGAAACGTTTGGGTGATGTCGGTACTACTCGCCTTCCAGGATGGGGACCGCTTTATCCCTGTTATGCCTGATTGGGAACGCTGCAAGATATGGCTGTTAATTGATATCAATGGCGTTCTTTCTGTGAGTTTCTAGCCAAATTGCTTGGCTGAGTAGCTGAAGGTGTAGGTGCCTCAGAATGGCCAAGGTAAGGTAGCATAAAGTCCTTTTTCTGTCCACCTTTATTATTTTCTTCACAGTAAGCTTTTCAAAAAATAGTGGTTGATGATGATGATGATGATAATGATGATGATGATGATGATGATGATGATGATGATGGTGATGATGATGTTGATAGAGTCACCTTCTCATGTTGGCCACCTACCGTTGACCCCATTCGTTTCATATGCAAACTCTTCTTTCAACCTGGATCGTGAGTTTGACTTCACTTGTTCCCTGGGGAAAAAACGTACAGTTGCATTTTCATGCACGTGAATGTGCGAGGTGGACAGTCCTTCCACGATGATTACTCCGTTTTTACGCCAGCACTTTAGAGAGTCCCATAGAGAAGTTTCCACTTTATTACGATTTGTGTCCTCGTAAGTGTCTTGAATCTGGCCATCTAGTGCTTGCAAAAAACCTTCGGGATTTCTTTAAACTAGTATAAGGGCATGGGCCTCCGGACGATACACCGGATACCTGGTGGGGTAACTACCCCTTAAAAGTTAAAAGTTCATGACAGACCAACCAAAGGCAGGAAATTAAACTGCCATCCAACCCAAGCACGACAGTCTAAAGTGAATAATACCCTGAGGGACCCATAGAAATCTGTCGGCTTCTTGCAAGTAGATGCTGAGGAACCAATGTCACCTAAATTACTAATCAATAGAACGCGACACAACCAACCATTGATCATGAAAGTGATAGATAGTAAATTGGTTCATCTATAGCACCCTTTCAGTGTCCGGCTTACGTGCCACGCGAAGGAAACACTAGGGCTGAGCTATTGTGAGTGTGGAGGGGGGGATAATGCACTGTCTGGTTGTAACGCGCACTATTTTCTCCCGCTTTTGTGAACTTGAAGTTCATGAATCGGGAGCCATGCGAATTTCAGGTCATTATTTGTAGAATTCTTGGACGAGAAGCGGATAATTACTCTTCAAAAAATGGGCCGACCACCCGTAGGCATGGGCTGTGGATGTATTTTGCTGTCCAAACTGCTCCGATCAAGTCCTTAGATATAAAAAGAAAGAATATGGTGCGGAACGAAGTTCGAACATGCTTAGGAAAAGGAAACCGCTTTAGTCAAAAACTGTTCAGGATTGATATCATACATTTTTCTAGAAGAAGTTAATATTACAGTGTGGGATATACGCAAATTTGTTCGAAGCCAGAGGTCTGTTTTAACAAGTCTCTAAAAAACTACCAGTGTAACGGTGAAACTACTGACGGGCAGGCACGCGAGTAGTATATGTTGTTCGTAGAAGTTCGCTTTGCGT